AAGTTTGTTGGGGGTTAAAATAGACACTAGTATGCCTTGGCACAATCATGCCGCTGTTCTCATGTATAGAGCTCCGCACCTAAGCATATCCTGAAGCTGGTTGATTCCATCCAGAAAAGAGCCATCCGCCTGATTGGTGACACGAATATCACTCGCAACCTTGATAGTCTGGAACATCGAAGAAAGGTTGGGGATCTGTTTGTCTTATATAAAAATAATTTCACGGGAGTTGTTCAATTGACTTGGCACATTTGATTTCTTGGAATATTGAAGAAAGGTTGGAGATTTGTCTCTTTTCTATAGATACTTTTACAAGTGTTCAAGTGACCTAGCACATTTGATTCCACCAAGAGCGGTACATATCAGAAATACGCGAAAGACTATGGCTGTTCATGGTTTTGAGGTTCAACTCAGTACACCTGGAACTTCACTGTTTAAGAACTCTTTCATTTGAAGCACTGCGTTTATGTGGCAGTACAGGAAAATCCTTGATATTCCTGTAGTGTTTTGTCTTTAATAAAAAAAATGTTCCGTAAGTTCTGACTTTCAATTGCTTTAAATTTCACATCATATTGAAACTTCAGTGTTTTCATTTTCTCTCTGTATGTGGAGTTCCACTTGAAACTTCTGCAAGGAATCTTTCTGAAAGTAGAAAAATTATTTGGAACGCTAATGAATTGACCGGACTGATGACTTTGATTTTACACACGAGGGGACTTCAATAGAAATAATATATCGTGGAAGTTAGAACATGATTCAAATCAATACATATTTTAGATTAGAGTACCCTGCCGTGTCTGTCTGTCTGTCCTAACGCGATAAACTCAAAAATTTATTTATTTCAATTTCATAACGAACATTTCTAGTACAAACTGAATGGGAAGGGACTTTTTCCTTTCAGGATTTGATAGAAAAATAATATTTTTCTTGGAAACAATGGAGGAAAATAATAACTATTTTCTAGTATTTCAATTCATATCTTGAATTTCATGATTAGTGGCGTACATTTTCGAACCGAATTAGTCAGTAAGCAGATGAAAGGTTATACAGAAATTGGTGTAGCAAACATTCACAAAAGTAAATATTTGACGATCGCTTTGTTTCTGTTGCCAAATATACTCATCTCTTACAAATGAATAAATATTACGGTCATATAACAGTGTCATCTATATTTACTCTTCATACATAAAGTCAACAAGTGATGAATGTGTTTCTTTTTGCAAATTGTTAACGTAGTTAACACACTTGTTGATTGAAACGTTCCGTCATAATCATGTTTTAACAGTTTTCAGTACTGTGAATATTCTAGAATATGGTCTTCCGTAATGGTTGAGTAGTTGGTATAATAGATAACCCTTCCGATAGAAAATGGCTGCATACTTGTACTCAAGGAGCATTCAAGAATTAGAAAATCATTAAATCATGGAAAGCCAACTATTTTTTCTATGACTCATTCATTTAAAACAATCACCTTTTCCAAATACTAGAAAAATGATTGTTATGGATTTATTCTATGCCGGAGGTTCCAGTTTTTTCTTTGATTTGTTTATTATTCTTGTGATGCACTTTTTGGAACCTTTGGTGTAGTAATGCATAATACTGAAGATTTTTTTCCCAACACCAAACCGTTATTTTAACACCTCGACACGTGTTTCGATCACCAAGTGATCATTTTAAAGAGGAAGCTCTTCCTCTTGAAGATGATCACTTGGTAATCGAAACACGTGTCGAGGCTTAACATAACGGTTTGGTGTTGGGGAAAATTCCAGTTGAATCTTCCTCTTGAAGATGCTCACACCAAACCGTTATTTTTGACACCTCGACACGTGTTTCAGTCACTAAGGGATTATCTTCAAGAGGAAAATTAAACTGGAGTTTTTCCTCAACACCAAACCGTTATTTTAACTCAACAACCTCGATACGTGTTCCGATCACTAAGTGATCATCTTCTAGAGAGAGTGCTTCCTCTTGGAGATGATCACTTGGTGATTGAAACACGTGTCGATGTGTCAAAAATAACGGTTTGGTGTTGCGATAGAACTCCAGAAATATTTGTTCATTGTTCATAATATTCAGTCCTTGGGTCAAATGTTCAAACTGAGGAATCTATCTTGATCAGCTTTCAAAGATTTTGCTAGACCTATTTTCAAAAATTATTGCAAATTCCTTCCACGAAGAAATTCAGGAAGCCTTGGGTGAATAAGAAGTCGTGGGTAAGTGCCAGAAGATTTGAGATAAGATTCCCGTAGTTAATGAGATTATCCGAAACTTTGGAAAGGACCTATAAGGTTAGATTATCGGGTATACAGAAATTCAAACCCGAGAATATCAACAATTCAAAAGAGGTTAGGTTGAGTCCAAAGTGAGTGGGTCTATTCGACACACCACCGCAATCCGCAAGGGTTTATTGTGGCTCACACCTATTCACACTCGACCAAATAAACGTAGCTTCTTAACGAAGCCTAATAGTTTCAATGGTGAGATGGTAAGAGTACTGCCGTGCCAAACTCTAAAAACCTGATTAGATCCCTAGCGGGGCAGGCACAAAGTATGTGCTCTGCTGTTTTATCATTTTCCAAACAGGGGAGACACACACTGTCTTCCGACAGTCCGAGTCTTTGCATATGATGATTCAAATGACAGTGACCTGTAAGAAGGCCTGTTAGACATCGTAGTTCATCCCTACTGTAGTCCAACAACTGTTGGGTATCAAGCTTGGAGTGGGCCAATCCTGGAAGATTCTGTCAGAAGTCCATAAGTCTTCTTGCCATCTAGGTGTTCAATCTTTGTTTGGCAAAGCCTAAAACGATGCCATTCACAGGTTCTGGTTCGATGAAACTGCTTGCAGCACCGTCCTTTGCAAGGGAGTCAGCAGCCTCATTGCCTTCCAGGCCAGTATGGCCAGGAACCCAGACCAGAGATAATCTGTTGAGTCTTCCTATCGAGGAGAATCGTTTTTGGCAATTTGCTACCAATTTAGACGTTGCTTGGTAGGAGCCAAGAGCTTCCAACGCCACTTGACTGCCCGAGAATATTTTTATTGACTTGTGTATGAGGTTGGATTCTTCCATTCTCTCCGCACAAAATTCAATAGCGTAAATTTCCGCTTAAAATACAGTCGCATAGGTTCCTAGGCAGGTTGATACCTCTGTCCTGGGTCTGCGACTGGAAACACCTGCACCAGAACCGGAAGGTGTTTTTGATCCATCGATAAACCAACAACTATCATTAATTCAGAAGAGGTACTCAGTATAGTTACAGCCTGTTATGAAAGTCCCAAATTTTTAGGTGATTGGCTAGAATCACATTTGGAGCAAGTAAAAACAATAATTTTTGAACCATACAAACATTTCAAATATGTTACAAATAAAATGAAAAAAATACAACTATCACCAGTGGTGACGCAAATATATATAAGAGATACAAACATGATGTAAATAATACGGTAATTAAAAATAAAGAAAATATTTGGTAATTAAAGGCCACAATTAAAATGTGTGAGTTGGTGTGGCCTCGCTATAAATACATTGTGTTGCAAAAAATTTTTTGGTAAACTTCTTGAAACTAAATATAGGTAGATTTTTAACAGTGGGCGGTAATATATTATAAATATTTACATTGAGTGTATTGATCGAGAAGTGTTCAAGGTGACAAAATTCTTCAATTGCCTGAGTAGAAATAGATTTTTGGAAAATTTCGAGCCTAATTCTTCGATGTGGTATGACCAATTCAGAGTATCGTCTAGGGTGATGCCTAGTAGTTTGACAGTTTCACCTTTTGCTATTTAATAATTTGTAGAGAATCTGATAGTTTTATCTTTATTTAGTTTCAAAAGGTTAGCATTGAACCACTTCTCAGTCTGATTTACCACAGTTTTCATTGTGACGAACAAATTCTCACAGTTTTGGTTAGTACACAGAAGAGTTGTATCATCGGCATTTTTATGGTAATAAGTGAAAGATGAAGTAATTTATATAAATGATGAACAACAGAGGTCCAAAAAGGAGTCCTGTGATACCTCAGATTCGATTGGCGAAAGATCCGAAGTTCTATTTTCACCAAGATCAACGCATTGTTTACGATTGGTCAAGTAAGAGCTAAAGAGGGAAAGTTCAACTCCTCTGATTCCATATTCATTCAGTTTCATTAGTAGATTGTGGTGAGAAACACAGTCAAACGCTTTGCTCAAATCGCACAATGTGGCCGAGCTGTGCTGTTTTTGTTCAAAACCATCAACTATGCTCTTGACCACAGGAACAACAGCTTCTACAGTAGAACACGATTTTCTAAAGCCATATTGATCCGTGTTAAGGAGATTGTTAATATCAAAGTAGAGATATAGTCCTGAGAATAATTTCAAAAATGTTGCCCAATATAGGGACGATGGAGATGGGTCGATGATTTTTAAAGAGGTCCACTGTACGGACAGTTGCACATATCTCGTGAAGTCTTGTATGCTACTGATTTGAAATGTTTCCTAGATGATAAGCATTATTAACATATAAAAACAATCCAAAATTTCAATGAATTAAATTACCCTATTGGTTAGTATCGATGAGGGTTTTCTGAAAAATTTTTGAAAATCTTTTTGAACATCTGAAACACGGTACGAGCTGTCGGAAATGTATGTCAGGGTTGAAAAGATACTGTTAGATTTTCTAATTTCGAAAGAAAACAGCCACTATCTTCGAAACTACTGAAATTTTCGAAATTAAAATCTCAACGCAGTCTGATTTATTTTTTTGGCATTTATAATATTGTGGAAATTCTCGAAAAAAAACCCATGTGAAATATCATAAAAGTTGCAGTTGTGAAATCTTATTATAACATATTTTGAAATTATAGGTTAATGCTAGATGCCATAATCCGCAACATTGATTAGGTTGATGATATATCTTGATATTCGTACAAATTATCAGTTCTTCTTATGAATATTGTGATGTGCCAAATCGTTTTTGAACCGCCTGTATGAACAGGTGCTTTTTTATATTAAAATACAATTTTCGTTACCACTACATAATTCAATAAAATTCATTTTATTTATAGTTATCAATTGATATAATAATACACTAAACATACTCCATTTCAATATATAAACATAACTGGAAGCTTACCCGGAAAGTTAGTTGATAATAACTACAATAATAATTTCTATACGAATTTGATTTCTTATCAAGAAACAAACTAATCACATCGAGAATTTAATATCTTTCACTTCTGAATTGATATCGAGTCTCTTCTTCATGAATTATTATTTACTTAAAATATAGTAACTTCCTACCCAGTACCCATTTTTACATAATTGTACAACGGACTATGACATGAAATATAAAAATAATCACAATAATGATTGAAATTCTAAGCTACCTCATAGGGTTCAAATTCCATATCATCGACTTTTTTTGGCCTACTTTTGACATTGTCGTAATGATAAAAATCGTAGATTTTTTGCGAACCGTTATCGTTGTAAGTTGCATTAGACGATTTCTTATCGCTAGAGACTTCTCTCCATTTGGTCGTTTTGTTCTCTGGTATCTTCATTTCTTCTCCGATAATCTTTGGCTGATTTTCGTTATCTTTAATCGCTTGTTTCTTTATGCATTCATTAATAGCATTTTTTTCATTGAATTCATCTTCTTGCTCTTTTTCGTTTTCTGCACTAATTTCGTTTATGATCGAGCCCCTCTTTCTCAAGTTTTTTTTCTTCATCACTTGAGATAACAATTGTTTCTTCGTATCCTGCATACTTTCAGTTCCTACCAATTCCAAGCGACTGCTGCAACTATTTGATTTCAGTATTCTGAATTTCATTCCGTGATAACCTTCTTTATGGTCTTTTTCCTTGTCGTTTTTCTCTACTTCGTTGTTCGTGCAGTTACTGCAATCCACGCACTTTTTCTCGTTGTTTCTGATTTCGTTCATTATAACTTTGGTCAAGACCGGTTGTCCGGACTTTTGATCGACCACTCTGCCGCCATAGTAAGTTACCGAAGTTCCGTATTCCCTGATTTTCTCCAAAATATCCTCGCTCACATATTCACAATAAATTTCGTTATCGATGGAGTCGTAGAGGTTCTCCTGGCTGCCAAAGTCTGACATATTGGACAGGTGGGAATTGGAATCCGTTGCGGAACATCTATCTTTATCCGGATCTGAACTGCAACATATATTTTCTTTCGTGGTTTGTTCACTTTCTTGAATAGTTTCAGATTTTTTCACGCCTCCTTCGAAAAATTCCCTCACCTGCCTCACCGTATCAGGATTGGGCAGTTCGTCCTCGTTGACTTCCTTGTTGACCCTAATGGGGTGGTAGAAGAAGTGCCGGTTCAATGTTGATTTGTTATCTGAGTCAGCGGATTGGTTTTTGTGTATCATGGTTGTGACGTTCTTCATCGATTTAACACATGAGGATGGCTCGTAGGGAACCTTGGAACGTATCGGTTCTATAATGACGATATTGTTGTCTATAAGTAACTCTTGGAAACTGTAATCTTGCAGATACTGTATGAGACCGTCGAACTGGGACTCCTTATCTGGGGCGAAAATTTTTTTTTGGAACAAATCAGACTTCACCAGTTTGTATCTGACATGGTCGAATTCGGGCTTGGTGCAGATACTGTTAGATTTCGTCACAGCTTTGTGGGGCTTTGGTTGATCCAGATCCTTCTTGGTGGCGTTTTTTTTTGTGTTGATAATTTCAACGGATGTTGGGCAAAGGCTTTCGAAAGACCTGTCATTTTCGAAAAAATGGCTGGAGCTGGTGTTTTCGAAGTAGCTGCAGGTTTCTTTGATGATTGGTGAGATTTTTCCTGTTTTCTCCATCGTAGCTTTGGGTTCAAACAGTTGCTTCGTTAGTTGTACTTTACTTTGTGGTTTTTCTTCAACTTTCTCTTCGGGTTGTTCGAATATTTTTTTCACTTCTTCCACGCTGGTTTTGACTTCTGTTTCTTCGAGTTTTTGAACCTTATGTTCGTTCGTATCGCTTCCAACCATTCGATTCCAGTAGTTTCTCATAGTTCCGAGCTTTTCTTGGAATTCTTTCGAGCATTCGTCTCGGCAGTACAGAAGTGCCATGTCTTTTTGGTATTTCTCGTTCTCGTTTTGTTCACCCTCCAACTTTGTTGTTAGAGATACCACTGCCGGTTTTGTTATGTTATCGTTTTCGTCCAGTTTTATCTGACTGCCGTATAATGTTTCTTTCAGACTTTTCACTGCTGCTATGAATTCCTCTTCGGATTTCAGCTCGCGAATATTTCTGTTGCTACCCCTGGCAACTTTCGAGATTTTCACTTCAAAGTCAACGGGAGCTGCGTTTCCGGCGGTTACGTCAAAGTGCCTACCTATATTCACAATAAACCTGTTTTCCTTTGAAGTTTGCTGGGAACGAGTATGCTGATTACTTTGTTGGCATTTACGTAATTTCCTGTCTATTTTCTCGCACTTCCTCAAGTTTTTACTTGCCGTTATATCCGGCAAGGAATGGAACTTATTGTCTTTCAAATTCGTCGTTTCTTTTGTCGTTTTTCGCGACAAATTCGAGAATTTCTTCGCCAAGAAATTTTGTAACGGCTTCCTCGAGCCTTTTTGCGTCTCCAGAAATTCTTTCAGGTAATTATGACTATGCGATTTGGATTCCCTGACTTGTTTACAATTATCCTTTTCTTCTTCGATATTCTCCTGTTTTTCCGCAGCAGTTTTTACCGATACGACTGTTTTATGTTGTTCAGCTTCTTGCGCCCCTGCGGGAACTTCTATCAGCGTTATATCTGGATTATTCGAAATATTCTCCGCTTTATTGGGTTTCTCTTCAGCCGAACTTTTATCACAAGTCTTTTCGGTGATGCAATCTGATTGTTCGGATTCAGAGTAATGATCCCTTTGGGGTGTTGTATAATGCTCGTTGTTTAAGTTTATTTCGTCCAAATTAGTGTCGGTTTCTTCTGTTGGTTTCTCTTCTGCGGCTTCTTCGGTTGTTCTAGAAGCTGAGAGGTTTATCTTGCCGTAATTTTCGTGATACGGGGTAGGATTTCGAATCGTGCGTGGTTTGCTTTCTAAACCCTCGTACAAAGTTTTATTTGCACTCAGAACGATGTTTTCATCGTAGGGAATACTAGCATTCGGTTCGCTCTTGTCCCATTTCAGGTCTAACGGATATTTGGTTTTGCTGCTATTTTCGAAGGATACTGACGAAATGTTATCCGTTAAAGATATATTATCGGTATTGTCAGTGTCGTATCTCGCATCGGGGTAATAGTTGGGTAGGCTAAGTTCTGGAAGTTCTTCGTAGGATATCTTTGATAGGCTGTTGATTGAGGCTGCCTTGTAGTGGGAATCGAGACTGTCCGGCTGTCTCGTAGCTTTCGGAAGGTTTTGAAGAGATACGTAGGAATATATCTCGTGTTCCTTCTTGCGGTTTCGTCTGTGTCGTTGAAAGGGTTCAGGAGGTGTGTAGTCCGGGGGAATGAGGGTTGAGTGCCTTCTACTTCGGTGGCGTTCTGGATTGTGGAGGTTTTCGACACTGGATCCTTTGTACCTGGAAGGAAAAAAATAGTAAAATTTTTGGTATGTGATGGAGCTGACCGGTAGTTGATGAAAATCCATTATAACGTATAATACTAGATTTTCACTTGATAGTTTACAAAACCGCGGAACGGTTTCCATATACAATAATCGCTGTTTTGTGACTTGTCGAGTGAAAATCTCACAATCACTGTAAGTTGAAGTTTTTGGATTTATCTACTAATATACAGGGTGTTCCATATAAAACTCCGCGGGCAAATATCTGAAAAATGGGAGAGAATATCCATATTTCGTGAAGGCAGATGATTTTGATGTTAAGGGGTCCTCTTATTTGCCAAGAGATCTAGCAATAGGCGTCATCCAATAGGGCGTCGCGACACCGACTCCAATTTTTTTGAATGGTAACCTAGATTTTTCGATTCGTTTTTGGATTCCGCATTAAATTCTGAATTCAGTCATATAGCACACTTGTAGTTTTCCTTGAATACTGATGAAAAAAGGCAATTTTATTGCATATTATAAACAGGGCCATGAATAAATCAAAATGAATGCAATAATACGAGTTCAATAAAATGAATACATCAGTTATGATTTCATTGTCTGTTAAATTTCATCTAGTTGCGTATTTATGTACAAATTAAAATAATTGTTTCAAATTACCAAAAAATATGTTACTTTGACCATAACTCGACCAACATGATGATAACGAAATCAATTAGTGATTACAAGAATCATTTTAGTGAGTGTTCGAACTGTCTCCCTTCACGTCGACAGCTAAAAGTGTCTCTCGCGTTATGGAAGCATAAACATTTGTGATACTATTTTTCAAATCCTCTACATTTTATGGACGTCGCATATAAAATAAGTCTTTGATATATCCCCACAAAAAGAAATCTAGTGGAATAATATCTGGACTTCGAGCTGGCCATGGTATTGGACCCTTATTTTCAATCCATTTCTCATTAAAAGTATCATCCATTATGTGGAGATGCCCCATCTTGTTGAAACCACATATCCAGTCGAGTTTGTATTGGTATATTCTCCAAGAGATTCAGTAACACGTGTTGTAGAAAAACCAAGTACCTCTCCCTATTGAGGATTCCTTCAAAAAAAGAGGTTCTATCAAATAACTATCAATGATTCTGCACCAAACATTAATCCCCCCATTATTATACCGTTGTTATGGAAACGGTTTTCATCACTCCATAATATTTTTTTTAGGAACTGATCATCATCATGAATACGGGTGGACAACCATGCATTGAAGTTCAATCTTCTATCAACATCTCCTGAATATGGGAATATATTTTAGTTATTAAAAATGACACATTAAGATTATCACCTGGATGGAGTCTTTGAACCAAATGTATTTTGTATAGATGGAATTTGTTTTTTGACAAATTACGTTGTATTGCCGATTTCGAAATGTTACAATGCATTGCTACTTGTCTGGTAGAACTATATGGTTCCAACACTATTTGACCTAGCACTGCAACACTGTGATTCTCATCAGTAGCCGTTTTTGTTTTTTTTCGCTTCCGTTCATTTAGACATCCATTTCAAGCTAAAGATTTGGTTAAGCCAGCGAATGTTTTGTCTGACGGTAATTTTCTGTCAGGATACCGATTAGCGTATATTCTCTCTGCTTCTTTTGAATTCCTTCTTGCTTCGCCATAAATACATATCATATCCAACTTTTCTGCATGTGAAAATTGAACCATTGTTCAATTCAACACAAAACTGAATACACTTTCGTCAAATCTGACAGGTCTTCTGACAGATCGATAAATACATTATTGCATTTATTTTGACTTTTTCATGGCCCTCTTTATAATACGCAATAAAATTGCCTTCTTTCATCAGTATTCAAGGAAACTAGAGGTGTGCTATGTGGCTGAATTCAGAATTTAATGCAGAATTCAAAAACCAATTGAAAATACTGGGTTACCATTTGAAGAAATTGGCGTCGGTGTCGCGACGCCCTAACGGATGACGCCTAGTACTGGATCTCTACGTAAATAAGAGGACCCTTTGACACCAAAGTTATCTGCTTTCAGGAAATATGAATATTCTTTTTCATTTTTTAAATATTTGCCCGCGGAGTTTTATATTGGACACCCTGTATACATTTTAGTGAAAGCTGTATTAAGAGAAAAATGAATCTTATGTTCAAGCATAGAAAAGTTCCTATTTTACTGCCAGTTACTGTATAACTGATGCTTAGTTCTGGAATACTAACCCAAGAATCTGAAAATCGAATACTCCTTTGGATTTGGCTCGATAATAATATTTGAGCGGGATGGACTGCACAGTGTCTAATATTGATTCAAATCCAAATAAATACTTCACTCATTGCCCACAACTTACTATTCAATTAAATCCTCCCGATCCTAGTTTTTTAAAATCCCAAAACTGAACCTGAACCTCACTAATTTAGTTTACATAAATGCCCAAATTATGAACAATCGTAGATATTTATCGATCGATCGATATTTATCTGGGCTGCCAAATTTGTAAGTGATCAGTTACCTTAACACAACACCACTGGGCTACAATGATAGTTTACAAATATAATCCTTCCTATAGAGTAGACGATGTGAAGTTGAAACTCATTTTTTCTACTGGCAGGATGTTTACTTTGGTGTTTCACAAGGCTCTGTTCTTGTCCTACTGTACATCAGAGTTAGAGTTGTTTCTAACGAACTCAATCAATCCCCAGATACGGAAATTCTGCACTATGCAAAGAAGGGTTGCAAACTCAATTATTTAGAATCCTTGGAAATTCACAAGCATAAACATTGCGGGTGCAACCTGTTAAATGATCAAATCGATTTAATTTACTCTCCGGTTTTCAAATTGGCACATCCGCATTGTGAACTGTAAATTCAGGTACTCAATCAAGTCAAGTACCTCTATTTCTATTAGTACCTACAGGGGTGGTATATAATGGCGAATGTAATGAATTATTGTTAGTTTATTGTATAAGTTTGAAAATCCCCGTATTGGACGAAACTGCAGTAACGTTAGTTAAAAATAAGAGTGGTAAAAAACATAGAAATTTTCATTTTTCTTTTCACAAACTGTTTCTGTATCTAATTGAAAATGTATATTATTTTATAGTTTATAGTTTTATATGACTAAGTAGCTAATATGTGTAATTTTGTTTGTTTGTTTGTTTTTTTTTATTTGATTATTTTAACCAAGCTTTGTCAATAAAATATGAATCTTCAGACAATAAAGCATATTTTGACTTGACTTGAAGCGCTTAACGAAATGCCCTATATAAATGATACATTCGAACGTTTCTGTAGTACTTTGTGATGAAAAACTATGAAAGTACTATTAAAGTAAAGTCTAAGAATGGCCCGAAAAGTTTGATTAGATTGGAAAAAAGAAGAAACCTCTCAATATTTTCACAATGATAATAAATGAGTTTCTCTCACCTATTTTCTCTAATCGAAGAACGGTTGATCAGTTTGGCCCTAGGAATCAGCTGTGACCTCCTCCTTCCTCCTCTTCCGTCTTCGCTATATTCTAAGGTCGGAAACAAGTTCTCTCTGGATATGGCGAAGCTGCGACTTCTCCGTAGGCTGTATTGATCCTCCAAATCGACTTCCCAAGGGTTGATCGAGACGTTTTCCAAACTGGCTCTCAACTTGCTCTTTAGCTTCTTGGGCTGAGTCGTGGGGTTGTAGGTGGAGTGGCAACTGGCGTTGGAACGGTCGTGGTCTTTGGTGCAATTTAAGGTTAGTTTGACGTTGTTTATGCAGGAGTCGCTCCTAGAATGAGATTACAGAGTTGGACAAAAATATATTTGAGAGTTGTTTTCAAGAATAGGTTTTTTGATACCACTTGCATAGGTATATCTATATGATTTTCACTTTGTCTTCAGAATATATACATTGATGTTGTTCATTGTTTGCTTACGATGAACTAAATTTATCCAAAGCGCTGTCAAAAAATCAAACAGGTATGTGGCAAATATAGTGTTGATGAATCAATTGAGTTGGCTAGCGAAATTTCGTTTCGGAGATTTTAGCCTCGAAGATGAGCCCCGAAGGGGTTGACCTACAGTAATCCAGAACTAAGATTTAAGGACCCTGGTGAAGACTGACCCATCAAAAACGATGCGTGGAATGGCGGGATAATTATACGTCAGCTCCCCATAAGGTTTTTGATGGTTCTGAACGAATTGGAAAGGTCGAAAAGCTCGAAAATGGGTGCCCTACGATTTGAACGATCGACAGATTTGTCACGTTTCGAGGTTTGTTCTTCTTTGCTTTTGCTCAACCAAAACGATTCTTTTTTGGTCACATCGTCAACTTTGAAGAAAAATGGATCCTCTACGACAACAGGAGTCGTTCAGGACAGTGGTTGGGCACCGATGAGCCACCCAGGCACTTCCCAAAGGCAAAAACCCGTGGCGTGCTACAAAGTATTCAAACACCAAATTGTCGTTAATGTTCAATATAGCCTTCTATCAAAAGCCAGGACGTAGTGGCTGATAATAAGATGGGTAGAACGAAACATCCACTAAGGATCATTTAACAAATTCAGGATTCGTCAGCCGAACAAAACCAGAAACACCTGTAGGGCAGACACCTGTCGTTTTCGCGAAATCTACCATCCTAACTGATCAGAAAAGAATTCCTTTTCTTCTTTTTTTTAGAAGATAGGGTACTAGCGTTTTGATCTATCAATATTTGCATATTCCATGCATAAAGGACCAATCTGAACAGAATAAAGTAATGATATGTTTGGTTGTATCTGGTCAGACACCCCCTAAAGCTAAACTGGCTACACTGACGAAAAATGAAACAGTTGACAGTCGAAATATCATCAAACAGCTGACAATTAAAATTAAACAGAAAATTTCAACTCGAAGACACTCCTTGTCAAACTTGTCCATAACCAAAACATTCGAGATTAGCAATGGGATTTTTATAAGGTTTCTATAGATGAGGTTAGACAACCAACTTTACATATCTATGTTTGTTATTTTCACGTTCGCCGAAGGTAGGTCACCACGGAGTCAAATCTATGTTGCTCTAAAACTTTTTTATTTATTTACAAAATGAAGTAGCGAAAATTGACATGCTACACTATATAGATATCTAGATATTTCATTAACTCGCCTTCAGAAATGTGATTATTATTTCCTATATTTAAGTACCCCATATTGGGTAATTGGGTTCTGCAATTTTATGTGAAGGGTAAATATTTGTTTTTTTCGAAATTGATGGGGAGTTTATTGTGACAGAACCATTTTTCAATCTCAATAAAATCTTTTTCTGGAGAAGCTTTCAGTAGGTTCCATGAAGAGTCAGTATACAAGACAGCCGTATCATCAGCAAAGCTCAGAATTTTACTTTTTCTTGGTATCTGTAGCAGCTCATTTAGATATATTTTGAACAGAATTGGTCCTAGAACCGTTCCTTGCGGAACACCATGAGTGACAGTTTTGGGATAACTCATAATTATCACTTTGGCTATGTTTGAGATTAGTGACATTTAGATGAGTCATCCCGCTAACTGAAAATACTTACTCGAGTGATAAAACATTGGAAATGTTATTGTGACTGTTTCAAGTGAAGAAAACTTCTTGTCCTGTTCCGGCAAAGCACATTACTCGTCTACTTACTCTTATTCTATATTTTTCATCATTATCGTTTATTCAGTTGAAAAATGCAAATATCTGAATATCTTTCATCGATAATAATTGCAAAAATACATGAAATGTTCCAGTATGAAAGAGTAAGAAATAAAATGCAGAAATTATACGAAATTAACCTGTTTTGAAAAAAACTATTCCTCAAAGATGTGTAGGTATGATTTATTGAAAATTTGTTCATATATTCGAAAAGAATAGGAACATTTTGCATTTATAGTCCTCTTGCCACTATTTTTTTATATAAAATGGACCGGAGAGCGAATAATTCGAAACATTTACGAGTTTCATTGAATAGTACAACCAAATCGTGACTCTGTGTTCATGTATGAGGGTATTTTTCAACAGTTATACTGAAACTAGGTGGTATAGTTTTGAATTCTATGTCAACCTTTGTTACATATACATATGTCTTTTCATGACTTTCGAAATGAGAAAGATCAAACTGTATTGGCGATAGAAGAAAATCAACATATTTTCACTGCACAGACAATTTAGTCCTTAGTCACTATTATATTCAGTAAAGATGAACATTTACGTCACGTGCGTGATTTGATCTACGCCACTGATTATGCTCATTTAATCATTTTAATTTCCCTAATTTCAATCCATTATAATACTTTTATTGGTAGCGTGCGGGTAAATAACACTTGGAAATGATGTTATTACACTCATTAAATTTGCTGCTCTAGTAATAATCAATTAAAAGAAGTATTAGCTTCTGTCACACATTGAGAAAAGGGTTGGGTGCACGAGTAGGTATTAAGCCTTTGCAATTTTTTTCGGGGTGAAAAAATTGTTTCGAAAAACTTACCTACTTTCTTATTAGATGATGAGGCGATTTTTCACAATTTTTAATAATGTATTTCATCGAGCATCTTTCAATAAACTGGATCTCGGTTTCGAAATGTATTCATTATCGGTTCGCTAATAACGTAGTATTTGCTTTTTCAATAAAATAACCTCTATGTCACAATTACCCGTGTAATTATTTGAACGTGTTACTTTTTGGGATATAGAAACTTGAGAATGAAAGGCGAAGTTCAACTTAGTACTCTAAACAACCATGTTGTTTTGACCCACGATTGTTTTATGAGTATGAGTGAGTATATGTTCAATGCACACAAGAATTACAATAACTCTTGTGAAAAGATTGGAATAAGAAAAATAACTAGCTAGGTGTGCTGTAGACAAGACAATATTCAATTCTAACTGTACTGTTACAAGGTTTGAAACGTTATGAATGAATTTTACAAAATGGCCATGCTCCACATCGACAGTTAGAGAAGGGATTTTTCAGATTTCGTTATTGTAGGGATAAACAAAGGTTTGTATTAACATAGGTAGGAGAGATCATAGTAGCGGGTAATTCCCAAGATAAGAGATACAAGGAATAATTAAGGAATTTGTATTTTATGAGAATAAGTGGATTAGGAAGGACCCATACATTAGAGAACTAACTGAAAAACCCCAATTAAGAATAATGAAGAATGGAATAACTTAAACAATATTATTTAACAGTACATAAAATAAAAATAATGCCATAAAACAGTCTGTTTTGTTGTACAAATTTTAGAGCTGGCAACTCTAGGCTAAATACTAAAAATTAAGATTCACTTGAAAAACAATAATTTTCATAAGATTTAGAACCGAACACATGTTTACGTAAATCGATAAAATATTATTAAACAAGCGAGAAATGTAGCTATCACTAGTGAGAATGAAATTTTTCGACGTGAGCCTAAGGCGAGCGCCTCAAATCATTCAACATTCTAGTGAGTAATGTCAATTTCTCGCGAATAGAATACTATACTATCATAAACTATACCCCACGATTTGATCTCCACAAACTTTATTTGAAAAATATATAACTACATGTTTCGCTAACATAGTAGCTTTATCAACAGTGATTTGAATACTACAAGTTGCTTCTTGCACTAATATTTATATACTACAGAATTGAGACTAACTCCAACAAATTACCTAAATCTCTACCTGACGTTCCTCTTCAATAATGATCACCTGAAGCATATTACCTCACTTCTACATCAATATAATAATTCTTTCTTGGTTTTTCTAAGAAAACAAGTTCAATAATGGTGATCCATTCAAATCCAGTTGGTCATTCATTCATTAGAATGTCTACATTTCTAAGTTTATTAATTTCCATTGCTTCCAAATGATTCAGTTTCAAACAATTATTTTCTATGTGTAAAATTTCGAAATATATTGAACTTGTTTTCCTATTTACATAGCTCGTATGATGTTTCTGGATTCGATTCCTAAATGTTCTATCATTTTGACCAATATATACCTTAGGACACGTTTCACACTTTAATTTATATACTGCTGATTTCTCGAATTTGGATGTTTTATCTTTATTATTTTTAACTAACTTTCCCAGCGTATTACTTGTTCTATATGCAATTTTAATATCTCGTTTCCTCAAAAATGAAGCCACTTTTTTTGTTGTTTGTCCAAAATACGTTAAAGTTCTATAATTTTGATTATCTAACTTATCGATAGGAAAAACGTCTCAATCGCTTTTGCGTAGATTTTTTTGAAAGGTATTTTGTTTATTAATTCGACTTCAAACCCATTGTTTACTGCAATTTGCTTGATGATATTAAGTTCTTTATTGAAATTATTTATTGAAAGAGGAACATTCACTAATCTGTGAATCATGCTATTATTATCAGCTGCTACTTTGTTTTGATATGGATATGTAGAATCGTAATGTATAGTAATACTAGTTGTTGCCCGCGGCTTCGCCCGCGTAGAATTTGGTAGTTGTAGTACTACTTAGTACTATGTTGCTGTATCGCTGCTGTTCCAATGTTTTGACAGAATCAGTATCAACGAACTTAGGCGTGCGAAGCGTTATAGAAAATTGTTCTACAGCGCCATCTAGTGGCGAGTTACAGAAAAATTTATAGCCTACAAACCTTCTCTATGAAAAATTACTTATACATGTCAAGTTTCATTACGATCGGTTGAGCGATGTAGAAGTTTATCACTTCCCAACCAACCAACCAATCAACAAACATCCATTTTTATATATTAGATCCGTATAGGACGGGTTGTGATAAATTGAAAAATCATGTTTGTTGT